CTCCTCCTCCTCCTCCTCCACCCACACACGCACAGCCCACAGTTGAGGTGATCTCTCCCTCCTCCTCTTCCTCCTTCTCCTCCTCTTCCACCCACACACACAGCCCACAGTTGAAGTGATCTCCTTCCTCTTCCTCCTTCTCCTCCTCCTCCCCTCCTCTCCCCTCTTCCTCCTTCTCCTCCTCCTCCCCTCCTCCTCCTTTCCTTTACCTTCACCTCCTCTCATCCCTCTCCTCTTTTTCTATTTCTTCTTCTGTTTCTTAGAAACTTTTAAATTGCTTCAAACAGATTCTTCTAAAAAACAAATTGGGTCCACAACTAAAGAAAATCATATCCCTTCATTACGCAGTACAATATAAGCAAAGTATCTTCTTAAAGATAGGCATAACATACCGACATGATTCTATCTTTAATTATTTATTTTTTAATATCTTATTTATTATTTTTATTTTATGTGTATGAGTGTATTGCCTGCATGCAGGTATGTGCACCAGTGTCCTGCAAGTACCTGTGGTGGACAGAAGAGGGTGTCAGGTTCCTCCGGAATGGAAGTTACAGACAATTGCTAGCCACTGTGTGGGTGCTGGGAATCAAACTCAGGTCTTCCTCAAGAGCAGCCAGTGCTCTTAACTGCTGAGCCATCTTTCCTGCCCCTATCTCTAATTGTTTCATTGCTTTAATAATCTTTAGTAAATACAAACACCACATAAGCAGAGTGAACTGTGTTCTTAGAGTGTGAGTTGTAGGATTCAGGAGCAGAGGGGACCTTCATTCTCTGTTAGTGCACAGTTGACCTAGACATGTCACTCACAGCTTTCTGGAACTCGTACCTGTCCTCTTTAAAACAAATATCATATGTATTTTTGTGTAATATTGTGTGATACAAATGAAAACCCTGCATTTGCTTCTCCCAGAATATGTTGGGTAATTTTGTACTATTTCAGATGGAAGAAAATGGAGGCTTAAGGAAGTTGAACTTTCTGAAAAATCACTCAAATGTTAAATGATGGGTCCAGAAATTCTGACGTGGGAATAGTAACATGGTCATGTTTACTTCACTGGTTTATGATGAGCATAAAATAGAATTATTACTGTGCAAGCTCCACCAATTGAAATGGTTCTTTGACTTGTTCTTACTGCTTCCACTGCCTAGAAGAGGTTTAAAAGCATGAAATTGTGTCCATTCATGTATGCAAACTGGAAGCCACTGGGACGTACACTTAAATGTCTGTTTGTCTGTCATCAGAATGAACCAAGTAAGTTTGATTTTTGTCTGCATTTATTTTCCCTTTCTGGTTTTGGGTTTCATTGATGTGAAGATGCTATATGCTGGATTGCCTGAGCTAAGTGGAATCGAAGACCTGAAATATGTATACAACAATCTCCGTCCACAGGACACAGACCTTGAAGCCACAAGCCATTTTACCAAGTAAGATGAGCATTAAGTGTATAGGCATGCATGTGTGCAGAGACGCAGCCCACAGTTAAGGTGATCTCCAGTTGACTAGTCATGAAGCTACCGTGTCATATCATGACTAGATATGAAGCTACCGTGTCTAGGACCAACTATGCCCTTTTTTATTTTTTTAAAATCAGAACAGAAGCCTTTGGCTAGTGTTTCTGCAGCATGCCGTTTTGCTAACCAGCCTCTTCATCTAGCAGATTGCTCAATAAGAGGTCATTGAAAAGAGCAAGAGCTGACATAAATAAATTTGTTATTCTACTTGAACTCTGTCCAGAAAAGCAGTTTGGAGAAAGAGATTTATGATGAGAAAGGACCCAGTTCTTTCATCCGTAAGACAATACAAATATTGGAATATTCGGTCAAAGACCTATGACTGTCTTGTACTTTTAATCTATTTTTTATTAAGCCAGTCTAGGGAACACTAGTGTACATCAAGGTAAGAGTCTCATCAGGATACAGTGAATATCAATTAGACTCTAAGCATTGTCCTAAGGACAGTGCATTTCATAATGTAAGATCCTTTTGAGTTTTTATTTTTGAATAGATAGCATAATTCTTTGCCTACTGCAGGCATTCAGTAAATGTCAGCTGCAGTTACCCTGTAAACAGCCTAAGTAAAGAAAACAGAACTCTTTCCCATGACTCTTCATAGTGAACCTCCTTTGTGTCTTTTAATTATTCTTATATTTTCAGACAGCAAATATTCTCAACACAGATTATATTCTATTTAATGGAAAGGACACTTTTGAAAGAAACAGTTATAAAGAAACTCCTCCTGGATTTGATTTTTTCCTATTTCTAGAGTGTACGATAAAGACTGTCTTCCCAGTGCAGGGCTGCAGTGGGGCACCACCATGCTGTCCTGTACACTTGGAGAACTTCATTGGAGGTTTCTCTCTGTGGACAGGCTATGGACAGTCACAATGGACAAGCGGAACTTGTGGTAGAATTTAAGGCATATGACAGAATCCTAGAATGTTAGATATGGAAGCTCCCTTATACTTGATCAATTCTGAAAATAAATATCAACAGAGAAAGCACATGCAAAAAATTTTAGGGTCTTGCCTACCATCAAGAGAAGAAGAAAGGAAAAGAACTAAGATCTAGGTCTTAGCTTTCTGTTCCAGAGTTTTCTAAAGCATCAATACTGGAAACTATCTATCATTAAGTAGCACTAGGCAGAGTCTCCGTTAATGTGGGGCGGGGGGTTGAGGAGGGAATACCGTTCTTGCTACCTGTTTAGTTTTTTTTAAAACATCTACCATGAGTGGTTCCTCCGGAAAGACTGGTAGGGCTTTTCTCCGCTCTTTAAAAAAAATGTCCTCAGGGTGCTGGAGAGATGGCTTAGCAGTTAAGAGCACAAGCTGCTCTAGTAGAGGGCTCAGATTCAGCTCCCAGTACCCACATGGCTGCTCACAATCTTCTTTAACTCCAGTTTCAGGGAATCTGATGCCCTCTTCTCGTCTCTGTGGGCACTACATAACATAGGAGCACTTATACACATGCAGGCAAAACTATCACACATATAAAATAAAAATAAATGTTTTTTTAATTTTAAAAATGTCCTCAGAAGAGGAAGCTGAGGCAGGAGGATTGTTATGAATTTGAGGATAACTTGAACTGCATAGTTAGCTCTAGACCACCCTGAGCTATAAAGCAAGATCCTGTCTCAGGGAAGCAATAACAAAATTTAAAACAAAGAAATTTTTATATTTACTTTTAAAATCCCAACTATTAACTCACTATGGCCAAACCATTAATTTGAAGATATGAGTAGTTAGTATAGACCTCATTTCTCAAGGTTCAATAACTCTCAACTCATCTTAACTGATGGGTATGGGTTCCTTGTGTGAGAACACCCAGGAAGGCTCACAACCTAGCCTCAAGTAGAACAGAAGGGGGTGCTGGATAGATGGCTCAGCAGCTAAGAGCACTTGCTGCCCTTCCAGAGGATCTGTGTTCAATTCCCAGCACCCATATCAGGCAGTATACATTCATTGAGATGAATAAAAGCTCCTTTAGTCCCTGGTCAAAGGAAAACCATGAACAGACTTCATCTGTTCAATTTCCATCTCTTCTCATCCCTTGACGGAACACACTCATGTCTATAAAAGGCATGGTCTTGTGTGTGAGTGATCTCCCCTAAGCTGACCATCTCCTTCCACTTCCAAGGGGCATGATCTAGGCAAGAAGCAGACCTAAACCAACAGCCTACCAGCCATGAGTTTATCCTCCTTACCCACCTGCACAGCGCACCTCAGCCAGGCTAATTGGCACACTTAAAGATGTTATATGGGTCTTTTCTACTAATTAAGTTTCCTTCTACAACTTTGTGTAGAAGTTCAGAGTTTAGAGAAGGAACTGCCTCACCATTGCAAGGTTAAAAGACATCTAACTCTGTGAGCTAGGACACATCATCCTTGTGTCTAATAACCTGCATGTCTCACCAATCCTTTTCTCTTCCTGATCCACTCTAATCTAATTGTCTTTGTCAAGGCTTATCCCCCACTTCTGTTATGAATCCTTTCATGGACAGATCATTTTCTTGATATAACATTCATTTCTGTTTTGTCCATTTAACTCACATATAGAATCATGCATTTTTGATGAAGGGGGGATGTGATCTAACTTTCAATCCTAACCTAATCCTGATAGGCTAGAAAACCATCCATGAAACCTCTTATTATTCAGCATTTGCTAATCGTTTTTCCATACTTCTACAGGACAAGCAAACTTTTGTGTTGTGCTTAATTTAATACTGAATTTCATATTACCTTACATTTCATGTTACTCAATATACTACAATATACTACTACATCCATTTCTCCCATGTAAAACGGGAGACATTCCAACTTTTCCGTTTCTAAGAATAGCTGAATATGAGACAAGCTCTGAAATTACAGTTTAAACACCCAATAACTAGGTTTAAGAAGACAGTAACGGTAGCTAACATCTAATACAGTGCTTCGTAAGTATCAGGCCCTGTGCTTTTCATAACCTCATCACCTAAACAGCCATAGGAGGTAGTAACATTTCTATCTATAAATTTAAATTAATAGGTTGGACCCCTAGAGAAATGAAACAAATTTCCAGAAGATAGAGCCATAGCCATGATTCAAATCCGGGGGGTGATGTTCTAGAATATGGAGTTTCTATAGACTCAGGGCTACAGAGGTTCACAGATCATGCTGCTGTGCTGTCGAGGCCACATTTCCATTGAAGTTGTCCTTTACCCTATTTGGCTGAGTTTGATCAAAATGTATCTTTCATCCTTTCTCAAACACCAGTCCTCACATTCTGAACACCCCAAACCTCAGCAGAAGGTAGATATCCCTTTGGAGAACTCTTAACTCTGTTCTACCACTTGTCCCCTGGGTGTCTGGTACAAGAGCTGCTCTAACTGCTGCCTTAGAGACTGGTGTGCAGTTCCCTAGCACTGACTCCCCAGCAGCCTCCTTCCTCCAGTTCTTTTTCTTTCTTGACCCGTCCCTGAATGCCTTGAGATGTTCTATATCTTCTCAGCAAAACTCTCCCATGAGATTCAGTCATTCTGAACTTCCAATAGTCTGCTTCAGTTGTATATTTTATCCTACAGTTTCAATTACATACCTTTATTTTTCTTAGATATGATTTAATGTACGTATAGTTTGTCTATTCAATTCCCCTGCAGGTTCTTTGGTCAGCATAAATATTTCACGGATATTTCACATTCCATGTAGCACAATGAAGAACTTGATAAAGTGGGTCAAGAAGCTTTCGTTGTTTGTGCCTGAGAGTCCAGACTATTCAAAAGTCTCCTGGGATCTGTTGTGTATACTGAATTTCTAAAACATGTGTACTTCTTCTGTAAGTCCTTAAACAGTGAATAGTGTGTGTTTGTGGAAAAACAACTAGATCAATTATAGATGATAATGCAGTTTAGGCGTAGCACTTAGGATTTAAGTAGGATTTATGTGCATGTGCTTATAGCCAGTACCCAAGAGAATACCCAAGAAAGTCTTGGTCTAGAATTCCCTAAAGATACTAAAATCCAAGGATGTTCAAGTCCCTCATGTAAAGTGACATGGGGTGTGTGCAGAAACCATGGTGCCCTCTGTACATGCTAGGTCATCTCTGGGTTATTTATCCCACCTAACAGGGTAAAGGATGTGCAAGCAGCTGTTCTACTATGCTGTTCATAGGCAGATGACAGGAGGGAAATGTCTGTTCATGGTCAGTGCAGATTAAATTATTTTCAAAGTATTTTCAGCCCTTGGTTAGTTGAACTTTGGTTGTATTGGTCATAGAGATATTCAAATGAACTTTCTGTGTAAATAATATGGTCCTCTTTAGCTACATTCTCTGACACCACGTAGAAAGAAACCAAGTTCAGTAATGGATCCATCGTGGGTACTGGTGCCTCAGTGAAAATCGTTAACTCAAACACATATACATATATGTGTGTGAGTTATGTTACATTGTTGATTTTATATTTGAGAGACATATTCTCTGTGTGTTTACATTTTTTGTTCTCATTATTTCTTTGTTTTGATACTAAAAGCATGTAGGCCACTGTTTATTCTGAAGTAATTACTAAGTTACAGATAAAAATAAGACAAAAGAATCCATGCCCTCATCACCATCAAGATCAGAGCTGAGTCCTGAGTAAGGCCTGAGCCATCTGAGATGAAGCACTTGCGACTGCTCTAAGTGCCGCATCCTTCCTGAGCTTGTAGCAGCAGGAGGCATCCCTTTCAGTTTGCTTGAGACTTGACATAAAGAATTGACCTTTCCTGTCCCCAACACCCAGCGCACTGATTGCTGCCTTTGTTCCTGGGTGTACACTTGGGGTCCAGAGCTGATTTTAACAGTTTCAGAAGATGCTATACACTGTGCAGCATTCAAAATTACATTGTCTGAGCTCACATAGGACTTGTGCTTGCTGTCACCATTGTTGTGAGTTCATATGAGTCACCAACCAGATG